TAAACATACTAATCAATTTGGGTTGAGGTTAATTAACACTAATTACGGCTAGAGAAAACAGGTAAATGAGCAAATAAGCAAGTGAACGAACTACAAATTCTAGCAACTAAACCGGTGAACAAAGCCAAAGGCAACAGAAGTGAAAATAAGAGAAACGAACTCCATTTAGCATGCTCAAGAGCCAAAACCAAAATCCTACTACGAAATAACCGAGCTAAATGTAAAGTCACGATTTTTCAAATAGCAATCAATCAATCAATCAACTCCAAGCATCATAAACAAGTTCACAAAAGTAAAGGAAACAAAAACAACTAAAATAGCTACTAAAAATCCGATAATCGAGCAATCCTGAATTACTTCTACGCACGAGATAGCAAGTAAGTACGAGAATCGAGATCACAAGGCTTAAAAGTAAGTACTCACATCCCTAACGTATGCTTGATCGAAATCGGAAGAAAAAGATTAGAACTTTGCATAAACGAAAAGTCACCGGAAAACGTCGCCGGAAAGAGTAAATAACATCCACCTTATTCTAGAGAGAAATAAAAGACTTAAGCTAAGAACCAAAAAAGGAAAAGTTTCATAATGAGCTAGATCCCCCCAAAATGCAAAGGCCAAAAAGTATTTATACTCCACACAAACACATAGTCAAAAACGCAGATTTAGTAAGGCACTCTGGACCAAGCCGTGGAAATCGCGAGCACGCGAGCGAGGGCATGCACAGGTGCACGGGCAAGGGAGGCTCTCGAGGTCGCGGTGATGTCCGCGAGTCGCGGCGTGCAGCAGTGTTGGGATCAAGCTACTCTCGAGGTCGTGAATACCACGGCGAGCTCGCGAGACGGTTGGAAGAGGCTCTCGAGGTCGAGGAGACGGAGGCGAGCTCTCGGCATGTGCTGGGCAACGGCGGCTAGGAGCTCTCGACCTCGTGGCTGAAAATGCGAGCTCGCGGCATGTGCTGGGCAACATCGAGATACGACATCGACTAAGGCTTCAACTTCTCGGTTCAAACATACTCGCATGAAATGGCTTGAAACTACTCGGCAACTCGACTTCTTCGGAAAATGCTCGTCTCCCGGAATGTGGCTCGACTCTCTCGGTACATGGCTCGACTCTTTCTCTTTCTCCATCCTCGAAATGTCCCTGAAATTTATACCCAAAACACGAACAAGTACGCGAAAATATAAAATAAATAAGATAAACAAGAAAACACACGATAAACGACAAAATGGGCCAGTCGACACTAAAATAAACCTAGAATCGACTCGAAAGCACACAGAAACAAATAAAAATACGCACAAAAACACAATTGATATAGGATATTATCTGTATAAAGACGAACCGATTTGGTGAGCCGGTCGAGAAGAGCAGACCGGGAGCAAACCGAGCCGAAAGGCGGAAATCCAAGGGATCAAGCAGCCCCAGGGCTCGACCACACAAGCGATCGAACAACCCAAAGCTCGACTGCACGGGCGTTCGAGTAGCCTGACGCTCGATCAGACTGCTCGAGCTACCCATCAATCGATCAGATAAGTGATCGAGCAAGCTGAGTGATCGAGCAAGCTGATCAACATAAGCCCAGACGCGTGTATAGCAGACGCGCGTGAAGGTCTCTGACTGAGCTTCAGGAGAATATTTACCCCATGTGCCGGGTGGACACGTGTCGACAATGTATTGGGTGATAGCGATAACCACCTCTGACGACGTCCAAACGTCCCGCGGCACCTCTGACATGTGCGCGGCGTGTCAGAGTATGGACGGGCAGCTTGGGTAACACACGTATCCTTATCCGGGCAGCTATTAGGGCAGGTATCTCACCCCTATAAAAAGGGGGATGAGCCTTTCTTCCTTAACACATTCTATTCATTCTCTAAATTCCAGTATGCTCATACACATACTGACTTAAGCATCAGAGGCTCTTCACCGGATCCAACCCCCAGTGTGAGAGTTATTTGCAGGTTCTCGGCGTTCTACCGGCAAGGACAAGAATTGATCTACTCCAAACTGGACCCGGACGCTTATACCTGCATTATTGGCGCCGTCTGTGGGGATTTTTGTTCAAAAAGTTGTGTTTGAAGCTCAGCTATGGCGGACGGAATCCCTAGAAATTTGCAGTCGACGTTCGACGAAGCTTGGACGACGACCAGGCCATTAGGGCACGGCCCTCCTCCGGGTTTTTCTGGCCCATCGCAGACTCCAGTCACTCCCGAACCTAATTTCCAAGGTGTAGGGACGACGACGGTGGTCCCCGGCGGAGGTGCCAGCTCCAGTCAGACCCAGGAGGCTCGTTTAGCAGCGGCAGCGGTGATGCCACCACCACCACCACCAGATCCAACACAATGACAAGGAGGAGTGCAGACACAAGGAGGAGTGCCACCGCAGGAAGCCGTACAAGCCCCGGGCCAACAAGTGGTTACGATGACCCGGGAGGAGATGCAGAGGATAGCAGCGGCCGCGGTGGCGCAGGCGGTGCAACAGGTCACAAGTCACACATCGCACGCCACCACTGCGCCGACAACGGCAACGGGGAACCAGGATGAGGATGTGTCCAGTTATGGGGAAGGAGGAGCTGGGAGAGATCGGGCCATGGAGAGGATGGCGGAGCAGCTGCGCCAGTTGCAAGATAAGGTGGAGGGAAGGCCAGAGAGGAGAGCTCGAGGACATCCCTTTTCAAGGGAGATCCTCGCTGCTCCTTTGCCAAACAATTTCAAGGAGACCAACTTGGTGTATGACGGGTCATCTGACCCATCGAGGCATGTGAGGACCTTTGAGAATATGGCGGTGTTGCATGGATACTCTGATTCTGTTTGTTGCAGGGCGTTCTTATCGACCTTACGCGGAGGAGCGCTTGACTGGTTTCATCAATTACCTTCGGGATCGATTGCTGATTTTGAGGATCTTGCCAGCAAGCTCACTAACCAATATTCGAGCGTAGTGGCACAAGAGAAGACTTACTTGACCCTTATGGCGATGAAACAGGGGGAGAAGGAGTCCCTGAGGAAGTATGTTGCTCGATACAATAAAACATGTTTGGAAGTGCACTCCGCTTCAGATGAGGTGAAAGCAGGAGGATTGATTAGGAGTCTTCGAGCGGGGCCCTGCCGAACTTCTTTGGCAAAGACCCCGGCTCGATCATACGAGGATGTTCTAAAGCGGTGCAGGAAGTACATTAATCTAGAAGAGATGAAGGTGGAGTTTGCAAAGCTCGAGGGGATGTCTCAGCCAGAACCAAAGAAGGAGCAAAACCGCTCGAGGGGAAGATCACCAAGGGGAATCTCGCCTAAGAGGAGCGAGCAGAGGAGAGCGTCTCCTCGAGGGAGGAGTGGAGATGCGAAAAGGGAAAAGAGAGATGAATGGCAGAGGAGGCCTATGGTGTTCGAGAGGCAGAGGTACCACAACTTTACTCCCTTGAGGAAAGATATGACAGAAGTGCTCGAGGCTATGGAGCGGAAGATGTCGACTGAGGACGTGACTTGGCCAAAAACAAGGTTCACCGGCCCGCATCGACCCCGGTCGGAGTTGTATTGTCGATTTCACAAGGATTATGGCCACACCACGGAGAACTGCAGGCATTTGAAAGATGAGATCGAGAGGTTGATTCGGGCAGGATATCTGAAGGAGTTTGTCTATCACGACAGGGTGAGAGGAAAGGGCAGGAGGAGATGTAGAGAGGATTCCGTGGAGAGGAGTGACAGAGATGAAGAAGGAGATGGAGGGGATGGTCGAGGAAAAAGGTCGAGAAAGGAGGGAGATAGAGAGGGACAAGGAGGAGGGGCCCCACTGAAGAGAGGAACAATTTACATGATTTCTGGGGGGCCGACAGATGGTGACTCGAACAGATCGAGGAAGGAGCATGCGCGAGCAGTGAAGAGAAAGAGAGAGGAGGTGGGGATTACAACGCGCATGCCAGTAATAAGTTTTAAGGCGGAGGATGCTGAGGGGGTAGTCTTACCCCATAATGACGCTCTGGTGATAACCGCGGAGGTTGCGGGCTTTGATGTAAAAAGGGTGTTCATTGATACTGGGAGTTCGGTGGATGTCATGTTCTATGATTGTTTCGTGCAGATTAACAAGGAGCTGAATACGGAGCTGAAGCCGGTAGCCACGGCGCTTTATGGCTTTAATGGAGGAGAAGTTATGCCGATGGGGGAGGTCAGTTTGCCCGTGGCGCTGGGATCAGGGGAGCTGAGGAAGGTGCGCATGGTGAGGTTCGTCGTTGTAGGGGCTGAGTCGTCCTATAACATCATTATGGGGCGGACGAGCCTGAATGCATTCCAGGCGGTCGTATCCACGTACCACATGACGATCAAATATCCAGTGGGCGAAAACGTAGGGGAGATTGCCGGGGATCAGCTCACTTCGAGAAGCTGCTACCAAACAACAGTCAGCAATAACAAGCAATTAGCAAGGAGACAGGCCGAGTCGAAGGGAAAAGAAATCAATCGACCAGGAGGATCAAGGTCGAAGGAGGAGAAGCAAAAAGTGGAGAAAGGTAAGGAGAAGGTAGACATTCAGCCTGGAGGGGAGGTTGAAGAAATTCAGATGATCGAGGGATGCGAGAGTAGAAAGTTCAGAATCGGGAAGGATCTGGAGGAACCCATTCGGTCGAGGATAATCAATTTGGTGAGGGAGTTCGCTGATATTTTTGCCTATACAGCAGAAGAGTTAACGGGAATAAGTGCCGAGGTGATCGAACATCGACTAAATATCGACCTCAGTGTGAGGCCGGTGAAGCAGAAAAGGAGGCACCATGGGGGGGAGATGGACAAGATTATCGAGCAGGAGGTCGAGAAATTGTTGGGAGCGGGGCATATTAAGGAAATTCAATTCCCTGAGTGGCTGTCGAACACGGTGATGGTGTCGAAGTCGGAAGGAAAATGGAGGATGTGCATTGATTTTCGTGACCTGAATAAGGCGTGCCCGAAGGACCTATATCCGCTGCCCAGAATCGACCAGCTGGTCGACTCAACGGCAGTGTAACACCCCACTTTGATTTTACCGAAATTCCAGATTTTTCAAAAATCAGTATAAAATTTTCAAACTCATTTTCGAAAATTTAGTGGGTGTTAAAAAACATTTTCATAACCCAAGTCTTATCTGGGCCTACGGGGATTCATTACCCGGTTTT